CGTTCACACTCCCTGCGTGTTCACACTCCCTGTGCATTCACACTCCCTGCGCATTCACACTCCCTGCGCGCTCACATTCCCTGTGCGTTCACACTCCCTGCGCATTCACACTCCCTGCGCGTTCACACTCCCTGCGCGCTCACACTCCCTGCGCGTTCACACTCCCTGCGCGTTCTCACTCCCTGCGCGCTCACACTCCCTGTGTGCTCACACTCCCTGCGCGCTCACACTCCCATTGTGCTCACACTCCCTGCACGCTCACACTCCCTGCGTGTTCACACTCCCTGTGCGCGTTCACACTCCCTGCGCGTTCACACTCCCTGCCAGCGGGGCCCTGCATGCTCACACTCCCTGCGCGTTCACACTCCCTGCCAGCGGGGCCCTGCGTGTTCACACTCCCTGCGTGTTCACACTCCCTGTGCGCATTCACACTCCCTGCGCGTTCACACTCCCTGCCAGTGGGGCCCTGCATGCTCACACTCCCTGCGCGTTCACACTCCCTGCGCGCTCACACTCCCTGCGCGTTCACATTCCCTGTGCGTTCACACTCCCTGCGCGTTCACACTCCCTGCGCGTTCACACTCCCTGCGCGTTCACACTCCCTGCGCGTGCGCGCTCACACTCCCTGCGCGCTCACACTCCCTGCATGCTCACACTCCCTGCGCGTTCACACTCCCTGCGCATTCACACCCCCTGCGCGCTCACACCCCCTGCGCGCTCACACCCCCTGCGCGCTCACACCCCCTGTCACAACCCCTGCTGAAATCGCACTGGCTTCATGGGAACACAGCTGGTTTCTCAGGCTGCGAGGCCCCGTGGGAGTTGGAAGGTATCTGCCGCAGAGGAGGCCCACGTGGCGGGAGCGAGGCAGGCACGCCAGGAGCTCTCGGCTCCACAGCGAGAGGGGCTCTGCGGACCCAGATGCCTGGCCCACGCTGAACAGGGAGCAGCGCACTGGGCCCTGGGCCCCTGACTTCGGCTCGGGCCCGCAGGTGCGGCGGTCAGCCCCAGTTGGCTCCTGCCTTCCCTGCCGGGGCGGGGCCTCCTGGGACCTGCCCTCCTGGTGGAGGTGGTGGACTTGAGCCGGGAGGGAGCTCCTGTCTGTACCCCGCAGCTGGAGGATGCTCACCAGGGGCTCCACCAGTTTAGGAGGCTTTGGGCAAGGACATTGAGTGCACAGACCCGCAGCTGTCCTGGAAAAGGAGACCCTGCCTCAGTGGAGTGGGGGCCCAGCACGGAGGCCGACAGCGGCTTGGAGTGGGCCGGCCCCGGAAGCCGCGGCCTGTGCTCGCAGGCAGAGGGCAGTGGGGGAGGAGGGGAGCACGTCCAGTCTGCACGGGCCCACGGGCCTCGGCCAGGCACCGCCAGCCCACCCCATGCCCAGGGGGAAGCCCGCTTGCTGGGGGAGGGGCTCAGGCAGGCTGGCCCCAGCAGTGGCTGTGTCTGCAGCCAGCGTGGCAGCTCATAGGTGACCCAGACCTCCAGGACATGGCCCTACTTCTGACCATCCTGTCCATCCTCCAGCATGTCCAGCAGGGCGGCCAGAGGGTCGACCAGGGCAGCAAATGCTCACCAGGCTTCCTCTTGGAGCTGGAGAGACACCAAGTTGCACTGTCACCTGGTCTCTGCTCAGAGCACCCTGGTAAGCCCCCCCCCCCACGCAGAGGTTTCCAAAATTAATTTCTTCAGAGGGTAACCGTGGCTGTTCAGTGCCATCTTCACTCCCATGCTCTTCACGCTGCTGAGACTCCACTCAGCACTCGACGCGCTGGTGGCAGTCATCGTCCACACTGATTACCCCATAAAGGCAGGGCTTGCTCTGAGCCAGACACAGGGCTGACCGCCTGAGGGGCTCCGTCCGGTGCACCTGGACGCGGGTGACAGTGTGTCCTCTCCTGACATACCTTTCACCTGGAGGTCAGAGCCAGGCCCACACCTTTAATCCTGGCTACTCAAGAGGCTGGGATCAGGATGAGGATTTGAGTACAACCAAGGTGGACATGTAAAACACCACAGCCCGCAGCTGGACAGGCAGCATGTGCCTGTCATCCCAGGCCAGCTGAGGCTGCAGCTCAATGGAAGAGCCAGTGCCATGCACCCATCACCCAGCCGCAGAGAGAAGCCGAGAGGCACAGCACAGAATAGGGCCGGACACCGCTCAGCAGAGCGCTGCTCCGAACAAGGCTGCATGCAAACCCCAGCCCGGCAAAAAACAAAGCAAGAGCAACAACAAATCCCAACAAGGTTTTAAAGTAAGCTGCTGTCAATGTGGGCGGTGCACTATGGCCGCCGGCCGCCCAGCACCCCCCTGAGCCCGGCAGCATCGGGCCCTCACTCTTTAGGTGGAACCCGGGAGCTGCAGGTGTGGACTCCGGCCCTGGTCAGTACCCAGGAAACACACAGGAAGAAAGCAGCCCGAGGACGCAGCACATTGTCCCCAAAGGGGAGAATGATTAGCGATCAGAAGATGTATGGAGCGGGGCACTGGTGGCTCAGCCTGTAACCCTAGCTACTCAGGAGGCTGAGATCTGAGGATCACGGTTCAAAGCCAGCCCGGGCAGGAAAGTCCCCGAGACTCTCTGTTTTTTTTTTTTTTTTTTGGTTTGGTTGTGGGGCCTGAACTCTGGGCCTGGGTGCTGTCCCTCAGCTCTTCAGCTCAAGGCTAG